CGAACCGCTGGCAGTGTGTTCAGGCTGGTTAATTTTCTCTCTTGCTATCCCACAGTTTAAAAAAGCTCCCTCCGACTGCTCTCAGGGCCTTCAGGCCCAGTCCTTACCCTAAGCAATGCCGCCTTCTCCTCTCCGTTTTGCCCCCACTTGCTGGTGGCGGGTGCGGGCGTCTGGAGTACTTTTCTGCTGGGAGTTGCTTTTAGGCACGTAATCTGTGGGCCTTATTTAATTTTTCCTCCGTTAGGTTGCCGTCTGAGATTTGAAAACTTCCCTCAGACCCGCCAGCGCGAGGGTTTCCTGGTGATTGGAAACTTCCTCTATTAAGACTCCCTTCCCGGGACAGGTCTCCGTCCCTAGCTTTTTTGTCTCCCTTTTTATCTTTTATATTTTGTCCTACCTCCCTTCGAAGACAATGGGCTGCTTTTCTGGGCGCCTGATGTCCGCTGCTAGCGATGAGAAGTTGTTTTGTGAACTTTGTTCAGCGTTCAATTGTTCTTTCGATGAATTTGTAGGAGAGAAAGTGGTCTCCCCGTCCTATTCCTCTGGCATCCTTCCCCCGAATTTTAATTAATTAATTCTTAATTTACAGAAGATTGCAAAGGTGGTACAGAAATTTTCCATATACTCACACCTAGTTCCCTCTGTTTTTTACATGTTTCATTGTTATAATACATATTTTAGAATTAGCAAAGTAAAAATGATGTTATTATTAACTAAAGCTATTTCATGCAAATTTACTCAGTTTTTACCTAATTCCCCCTCCCCCGCCTTTTTTTTGTTTCAGATCCCATGTAAAATACTACAAAGTTTCTCAACAAAATATTAGCAAACTGAACCCAACAGCACATAAAAAAATCATACACCACAACCAAGTATGATTCATCCCAAGTTCAAAAGGATAGTTCAACATATGGAAATCAATCAAGGTATTTTTAATTTCTTCATTATTATTGACCCATTCACGGACCACAGCCTTGTCTAACTCAATGAAATTAAGCCATGCTGTGTGGGGCCACCCAAGACGGACAGGTCATAGTGGAGACGTCTGACAGAATGTGGTCCACTGGAGAAGGGAATGGTAAACCACTTCAGTATTCTTGCCTTGAGAACCCCATGAACAGTATGAAAAGGCAAAAAGATAAGACAGTGAAAGATGAATTCCCCGGGTCAGTAGGTGCTGAATATGCTATTGGATATCAGTAGAGAAATAACTCCAGAAAGAATGAAGGAATGGAGCCAAGGCAAAAACAACACCCAGTTGTGGATGGGACTGGTGATAGAAGCAAGGTTCAGTGCTGTAAAGAGCAATATTGCATAGGAACCTGGAATGTTAGGTCCATGAATCAAGGCAAATTGGAAGTGGTCAAACAGGAGATGGCAAGAGTGAA